GTTCATCAGTTTCCTGTTTCCCCAGCTATATAGCCGCGTGGACTTTGGCATTTATTTGAAGGGGTGTTTAAAATATTGTAATCATAGTAACGTTAATTGTCTGCTCAGTTTTATACCTTATTCAACAGTATTATGATTATATACTACTTTAACGCATATTTATACTTTAATATTGTTTTTAAAATAATTAAACAATTAGGTACCTTAATTGTTGTATAGTTGCAACCCCCCTGTTATGTATCTGTGATGATCAGCCGAGTTATGACGTTCTTCCGATCGCGCCATATTCAAGCAAAATAGAGTCTTTGGGAGAAGTCATTTCGTGTTACTTATTGTAGAGATATTTATACGAAACCAAGAAAATTACCTTTTGCCCGTCTTTTAGTAGGTAAGTATCGTACTTATTACCACTGGCATCAATTTGCTTCAGTCTTCAGACACAAAAATGAAGATGATTTTGTTGCCGCTACCTCGGTTTTATTTGATTTGTTGGGTTTGGCTACACAGTGTTCTGCTTTATCAGTGGGCTAAGACTCTTAGTAAGAGTATGTGTAGTCTCGCCGTAAGAACTACTGATGTTTATCATAATATTTGTTGAGACTGAGGCCACGAAGAAGAAAAAAAAAAGAATTGGAATCATAGTTGACAACAGTAACTAATTTAAGATAATACAGATTGAAAAGATAATAATAAAAAATAACACGATTGTGATATTGTCCAAACGTACCTCCAAATAATTATAAGTGACTTAAAAAAGGGTACATGCATGTCTTTTTTGTACACTGGAAAAATGAAGTATATGATCATGACAATAGAAGAAAAGGTAACGAAAAAAATCAACGAAGAACTTACCTTCTTTTAAAAAAAAATATCAGTTCAGAGGATTATTTGACAAACAATAAAATATTAAACTCCAGGAAATAATTAGTAAGTAATTAGTAAGTTTCGTCTAAGTAACTATTCACTGAGAATTGAAACTGGGTGCCATACTCAATTGCCAGCAAATGAAAGGGTACCGTATGTCTTCTCTGTAACACAAATCAGATCGAAGATGAACAACATTTTGTGATCGATGTCTTGCCCTGTCTATGTTGAATACACTTGAGCTATCTTCACAGAAACTCTGTTCTTTCTTGAATTTGGCGATATTATTTTCCTGTAAAGAATGTTGACATGTGAATATTAACTTAGTGTAGTTTAGTAGTGGTATAGTTAAGTGTTGAGACGTACGACTAGGATTGAAGATCTAGTCTAATACTGTCTGCAGTCCTCACGACGACAATGATTATAGGGTGACGCCAACCCAAAATGGATACAATAGAAAAGTTTGCCATAGCTCCCCATGAGGAAAAAACCCAAAACGAAGAGGAAAAATTAAGTGCAGATGGGTCCTTGATGATTTAAATAATACCTCTGTAGAAAACTCCAGTAAAACTGCGTATACTGGATGTGGGATAGATGTATGTGTTCAAACAATGCACTAGCTGTGAACCGGATGTTACTCCCATCACAACGTAATCAGTAATGAGACAAAATACACTCCGTTAGAAAAAGGGCACCCTCACATGCGATTTTGTTTTTTTGTAACCTTCAAAATTTTTGGATTTTCTACCATTTTCATTTTTAATTGTTACGTTTTCTGTGTATGTGTATTTGCTTTGTCATGTCACTTTTCACGTTTTTGTGTTTGTGTATTGTATTGTAATCCATTCCAATGGATGTTAAGTGATTAAATAAATACAATTTTCATCCTAATTCACATTTGTGACTCATTTGCTTTGGTAAGCCTTACAATCTTGAAAAGGGTGATTTCTATGATTGTGTGCAAGGAATTGAAATCATCAATTTCAAGGTAAGAACCATAGAAACAATGTCTTTATGTTTTCTTTGAATGAAAAGTAATATGCTTGGCTCCAAGGAAAGTGTGCCAATGGGACGTCACATGGCAGTGCAATCATGAAATGATTATTTGAGTTGGATATGAAGTTACTAGAGTGCCAATTTTCTGCAAAAATACCAACAAAAAAGAGTAAGAGAATTAGTATTTTTAACTACTTGTGTGATTTTTAATTTGAGAGGGGTCTGCTCTGACCTAGCATAAAAGACGATGCCGTGTTGTAATTATTAATTGAGCAGATAATTTCCAATCATTACCATTGCTGTATAAATCACACTGCTGCTGGAGAAGTTTATTGGCTCCCCACACTTGAAATATCTTTCCTTCTACCTCCAGATATTTCATTTTCTGCTGTTTTTGTAATTTTTTCTCATGATTCCAATTTTCTTTGGATTGTAATGTATGTGAACTTTTTGTAAAGCAGTGAAACAAGGAGATAAAATGTTAGCTTTCTTTCTATGTTAATGTTTAAGCATGAGTGCCAACCCTCCAAATCATTGTTATTTTTTTCACTCTGTAAGTAACAATTCCATGTGGGGGAGGCATCACAGATAAACAAATCCATTGATGATCAATGTAATCGAATACCTGTGAGAGAGATTATGTTTATTAATTAATTAAAATAGAATTGGCTTTACCACGGCACATGCTATGTACCAAGTTTGAATGAAAACTGACAAAGCATGTCCAAAATACATTTTCAAAAAACAAGATGGCTGCCAGTCAGCCATTTTGAATCAAAGCGCTAAACCACTCCATGTGCATATGTCCCACATAAAGTACCAGGCACATGCAAAGAATGAACGTACTCCGGATGGACGCACAGACGCATGGAGACCGAATTATAAGTCCCAGTTTGTTTAATCATAAACAATTCAATTATTCATTGTACTACCGGTAGTTGGATTTATCTCTAGGCTTCTCAAACATGTCAATGATTAGTTATTCTTATGGGTAAGGAAGTGTAAGCACCTGTTATTATAGCTTATATGTGGCATCCTTTTTCATGTCCCACTTGAATATTCCAGTATACTGTCTGCCTCCAATGATAATCTCGCCTGTCAATAATTCTTTGATTGCTCTCATGACAGCCTTATAGTCAGGTTTGCTTTTGCCAGACATAACTTCAAAACATAATGAAATCTACTAAAGATAACAAGTGTACATATATGTATAAACATGCGCGTCAGTCGATAGTCCAGCTGTACTGTCTTCGTGCATACTTTGAGGTATTCTTGTAATAACCTTATTATTATACGGTACATCTTTTTCTTCCAAGGCAATCTGATTAAAATCTGATGTAGTGTACGGGCTTTAATTATTTTGGCTATAAACTTATTTTAATTTTATCACTTTTGTTATTAATACATTTTTATTAGTCCCCGTTTGGACGTAGTCCGAAAACGGGGACTTATGTTTTGCCCTGTGTGCGTGCGTCCGTGATCACCTGTATCTCGAACATGCATGGACCGATTAAATTCAAACTTTACTCATACATCACACATTATATGGGACATATGCACATGCATTTTTTTCATGATCCGATTAACGATAGCCGAATAGCGGCCATTTTAAGGCCAAAAATGCATCAAAATCACAGATTTTCACCATTCCGGACCCGGATCTCAGTTATGCATGGACGGATTTTGTTCAAATTTGGTACATACATTAAACATAACAGGACCTTGATGCACATCATTTTTGACTCCCATGTGCGAAGCACAAAAGGGAGTCTTTGCAGTTACCCTGTCTGTATGTATGTATGTATGTATATATGTAAGTATGTCACTTTTTTTGTTCCACCGTTATCTCAAGAACCGCTAATCAAATTTTGGTGAAACTTGGTACATAGATGCTCTGGGATAATGCGCAGAGCTGATTAGGTTTTGGTAAAAATCTATGAATATTAATTACCTAATTTGCATGATAATTAGCTGATTTTTAGCTGTTCCAAGACTGTTCCACTGATATCTGAAGAACCACTCATTGGATTTTGATGAAACTTGGCACATAGATGCTCTGAACTAGTGCGCAGATTTGATTAGTTTTGGGTAAAAATCTATGAATATTAATTACCTAATTTGAATGA